CAAATTGAAATTAAAATACTTTTTTTTGTTTTTATATAAAAGTGATTAAAATGAATGGAAATTAAAGAAATGAAAATGAGACACACAAATAACACTGATAAAAATCAATCCTCCAATTCAACAATGCAGGCAATCATCACTCTAAAAGATGTGGGAGTTAAAAACAATGAATTAAGAATTATAATTAAGCTTTTGATCCAACAACCGAGCCACCTCGAGTTGTCACAAAATATTTTCCTAAAATCCCAACTTACTAACTGCAACCAGAATAGTAAAATGGGATTAAGGATGCTAAAAACCAATGCTTAATTAAAACTCTTAAATCCAAAATAACAGAATTAAAGCTAGCAAGAGACTATATGATCCAAAATTCTAAGCCACCTTAGAAAATCACAATATATTAATTCCAAAATCAATACAAATGTCATAACCTCAACATTATAATTGAGATCAAAACTATAAACAGCCCAATGTCAAATACTAAGCAATAATTCAGTCACAATAATCCCCAAATATAATCAGATTAAGCAATACAATTATCCCAACAATTAGAAAAACTATCCTAAGACCTAGGAATTGTTAAACAATTATTGAATAGGAAATTAAAGCAACTAAAACTCCCCTTTGATGATCCAAGCTCCTGCCATTATTGTTGAATTAGAGAATTATAGAGTCTAGCATCGATTTGCCATAAAAATTGTCATATTCAGAATTTTGCTACGGTTTGCCATGGAGGGAATAATGGAACAGTGGATGATTTCTTTCTCCTGCGTTGCTGGCAGCAGTGAAGAAGAAGCAGACGATGCCGTCCGTGTGTGTGTGTTTCCCGTTGAGCGCCCCCTGCCACCAGGAAGGTTCAATGGAGAAGATGATGAGCGGTCCTTCGTGTTCCTCGGCTCTCTGGACCTCAGCGCCGGTCCCCTGTTTTTCTCCTCTGCGTGTGTGTTCGTTTTTCGTTCGGCCGCCTCCAGCTTGCTGTGTTTCGTCGTGTTCAGCCCTCTTCGTGCTCTGCTCTTCCGTTTGAATTATAGTATATTAGGGGTGGGAGCAAAACGCAGCGTTTTGCTCCCCCTTTTATTATTTTTTTTCTTTTATTTTTATTTTTAAATCTTCTAAAAACCTGCAAACAAAATTCAAAAAATAAGGTAGCATTAATTGTCCTCAAAAATCAATTAGTCACAATTAAACCAAAATATGACAATTTTGCCCCTATAAAATAATAATTCAAAATAAAATAAATTAAATCAATTAAGGCAAAAAGGGACCAATTAAGCTGACAAAACTCATATAAAAGATACCAAAATATATAAAAATAATTGAGTTTGTCAAAGTTCTATATTCGGCGACAACTTTCATGTCGCCGCTAAAAAGTTCCACTTTTGACAGCGACAATAAAAGTCACCGCTGAAAGTGATTTTTTTTTTGTAGTGAATTAAGATAAACACAATTTTAGACAAAAATGAATTAAGATAAATTTAAAAAACTTCCTATTATATTTAAAATTGTAAGGTATATAATTTACTCAATTATATGTATTAATTCAAGGAATTTGCCAAGATAATTGGTGAAAGTTACAGGCTTCAAGCTGAAAATCCTTACCAAAACAAGCTATAATTTCTTTTCCACTTTAATAATGTCATTGGATAAAATCTTATTACATTGACCCATTCTTTTTCTGAATTTCATTTTATGTATTATTTTAGATAACATTTCATATATTCTTTTTGAACTTTGATGCTCCTATTTTATAAAACTGGCGTTTATTTTGTTTTTATCTTATTAATTCTAATTTGTGACTTGTTTTTTTATTAGAAAAAATCTGTGTGTCTGTGTTCTTTACTGCTTCTAGTCAGAGTTTCTAGATGGCCCCCTGAATGTGGACACGATATACACATGTAGAGAGGGAGAGGGGCACGGATATATGACTGCATTGTGTTTAGTCTAGCTATGTTGTTGAGGAGATGAACTGTTGTTGGTGAGAGAAAGACGAATAAAATGAGAACTCATGTGAGCTTCTCTGTCCTCAAAGATAGGAGAAAATTGGGACACTATGTTGAAATATGTGATGCTCAATTATCTGTGTCCCTGCATATTCTTTCCATTTATCATCTAAAACATGATGAAATCAACTCAACGAGGGATGCTTTGTCAAGAACATTACTTGAGAATAGGGGTTGATAAACATATTGAAGTTCAAAATTTTGTTAATAATAGTTAGATATAGATTTTTTTAGTTCAGTGTTTATCAGGTTTAATTGAACTGTGGATTACTTAAATTGTTGATTATTAAATTTAGTTGAATAAGGATTGAAAACTTTAGTTATCTTAGTGTTAAATTCGAGTTTTAGTATTGAATTTTAGTTGGATTTTAGTTTAAAGAAAATTGTGCTTTAGTTTGAATTGGTTCTGCATTCTTTTGGTCTGTTTTGCTAGCCGGAATTAGTTTGTTTGGTTTGGTATTACAAGGAGGTTGTATATAAATTAAAAAAAATTATATACAAAAAAAATTGAAAATTTCACAGTGGTTTTCATTGTGGTTAAATATATAACTGTCGTGAAAGTAAGCCCCATAAACGCTGTTTATTGAATACTTTCCACGGCAATTATTTTCTAGTAACTACAATGAAATTAGTAGTCCCCGTGAAAGCCTATTATTTTTATATTGACAATATTCACTATGCTTCTAAAATCATCGTGAAAAGTTCTTTTTAACTGCCATAAAAGATTTTTTTTTTTAAGGAGTAGCAGAAAATTTTGTCATTACTCCGGAATTTTTTCTCATATATTTGTTAAAGTTATGTCCTTATCTTCTTTCCTTAGGATTTTTAGCAATTCTATTTGTACTTTAGCTTGTTGTGCTATGTAAAACTTTTGACTTCGTAATGTCATTTTCCCTTATTCCCAAAAAAAAAAGTGATGCTCACATTTAGAGAATACCAAATTAATGTGCGGATTACATGGCGAAAGATGCTCAACATGTTGGATATATCACATGTTCATAATTAATTATGCATGTCTACTTACACAAACATATATAGTTTTCCCGATCTTATATAAAAGATACAATTAATTAATGAAATTATCTATATATAAGATCAGAGGGAGTATATTTTAACAGTGGGAGGAAAAGTTGCGAGGAAAGCAAACATGGGGATAAATTAAAATATGGAGAATTAGAGTTTTTTTCTTATTTAAATGAGAGGAAAAAAAGTTTGAGTAGAAAAATGAGGAGCGTGACCCACCACATTCCCTCCAATAATTTTCTCTCCATATATGAAGAGATTTTGAAAATAAGAAAATTCTCCTCCCTAAAACCCGAGCCAATGCAATTACAGTACTCATAGTGGTGGGAAATATGGAAGAAATTAAAATAGGGGAGAATTAATCCTTTCAAATAACACTAATATAATCATGCATGATAAAAGACCATATTATTATCACTAAGGACCTCAGCTTCGGGATGATGACAATAAAAGGAGTAAGAAGATCGTGCTTGGCTATCAGTGAAAATAAAATAAAATTGATATTCTTAGCATTTCAATCACTACAATAGCTAGTGAATTTTCATTTACTGTCAGTTCACATGTCTTAAGAAAGCATGAAAATTCTCTTACTCTAACAAATATTTAGACTCTCATTTGTACTTATAACTACTACATAGTTTTACTTTAGATAAAGGTGATGAAAACAAAAACCTTGATATTTTTATCACTGAAGAAGAGCCCATCTCTAGTGAAGAATAATCAAATATTGTTGATCTTAATGATGATGTAGATGAAGATAATCACCATGTTGATATTGTCAATCTTTGATTGCTTAGTTCTTATCTTTCTGCTTTTCTTATGTTATGTGGGTTTTTTTTTTTTAAGTTTGGATAATAATTCATTAGTGTTTGATGTTTTTCTCTCTACATCATTAATTTATTTTGTTAATATTATAATTTGAATAAAAATTTTTAGAAGTTTTTATTGTTTTGTTTTTTTATTTCAAAATAATTAAAAATAATTTTAATTTTAAAAAATAACATAAAAAAATCAGTCTTTTTAGACCTTACATCCACACATCTGAGGGCTAATAATATAATAATTTTAAAGTATGTACATTTTAAAGGGTTGGCCCTCTGTTAGGCCTTGGCGCTTCAAGGGCTGGCTCTTTAGCCCAACCTTGGTAGCACTATGTTAAAAGTCTCTTTTAGTTGTGACTTTTAATGTCACTAATCGAAATATCACTTTTAGCAATAACTTTTAAGAATTACCGGTAAAAATCTAATTAAAAGTTTGATTTCGTCAAGCTTTCGGTAGCAAATGAAAGTCACCACTATAAGATTGAGTATGGTTTGCAACATGACTGACTATCTATAGAGTTGCCGCTAAAAGATCATTGAAAGGGTTTTCTTTTGGCTTATTGATAACTTTAACTATGTATAATCTAAATTTAAATTTACATGAATTAATGTATAAACATATTTTCTCTCCATGAATCAACATTTATACCTCCATTTACAAAAAAAACTCCCATCACGGTTATTTTTATTTTTTCTGGGTAAAATGTGAATTTCATTTCATGATTCATCAATACAATGATATACCAGAGCAAATGCTCAATAATCATAATTCCATATCATATTCCCTGATTAATATAGTAATCCCTAACATTAACACTCCATTTAATTTCTTTCCCAAGGCCCTTGAACCAAGGCACACTTTAACAAGATATAACCAAAGGGAGAGAGAAACCAACTATTGTATTTAATTAAAATATATTGCACAGAATTTATTGATTTACAAAATATTGAACCGTTTTTTTTTTTTTCGCACTCAAATTCTGCCTTATGCCTTTCTTTGCATGAAGCAAAGAAAGAAAGGAGCAGAAAAGAAACATAATAATGATAACAGAGAGGAGAGAAATAAAACAGACCTAAGAATATTCATTCACACGATTTCAAGCTTCTGAAATGGCTTCTACACACACACACACACACACACATCTGTTTCTATAACTTATTCTGTAGACCAGCCTACTGGCTTTCCTTCCAGAAGGCGGCGCCGTTTCTGTCCGGCGACTACTCTTGCCGGCTCCGGCAGTGGTTCTGACCCAATAAGGTGTGGAAAATTGAGCTTAGCTTTCCTACCCTTCATCTTGAAAGCAGCTCTATCATAAGCCAAAGCTGCATCCTCCTCCCTCTCATAAGTTCCCAGCCATGTCCTCGCACCATTCCTGTTCGGGTCCCGAATCTCCGCCGCAAACTTCCCCCATGGCCGCCGCCTCACGCCTCTGTAATTCCTCCATCTAGGTGGCGCGTTCTTTTCACCCGCCACAGATCCTGGGTTACTACCACCAGCCATATCATAACCACCTGGCCGAGCCATAATTTTGTGATCATTAATCCCGGCGGAAAACACCGTATCACTGGAGCTACTAACACCCTGCAGCTCCGGCAAAGCAGCGTCATAGCTCAGATTCCTAGTATGGTTGTCCATGAAGAAGCCATTCGAGAGAGCCATGAAGGAAGGGTCATCTGTAAGGTATTGTTCAACTGATTCAACAGGAGAAAAATTAGGGTTCATTTTGGGAAGCTATAATATTTAAAATTTGGTGTGAGCATATAGAAGCACAAGATCAGTGAACATGGGTTATGCGTATATATGTACAATGACTTTAGTTTAAGGCGATTGATGATATTATTTTATTCTTGAGTTTTATTTGTTGTTTCTGTGAAACTTCACTTGTTAATTAATTTGGGGTGGTTGTCATGGAGCGTGATTGGTTAATTTATTCAAACAAATATTATTTATTTGCGAGCATAAAGGCTTGGTTATTGTATTCCATGATGGCTACTTTATGTAAAATATTAAAACATTATTCATTAATTAAACTTCTCAGTGATCAATCAGTTATTGCTTTGTTGTGAGCAGCATGACAGAAACAACCCCAGTCAAAAATTTGGAAGGTCATTATTCTCTCATCCAAAAAAAAATCATTATTCAAAGACTTATGCCACGTTTGACAAATAAAATGACAAGTCAGGTCAAAAAATAAAAAGAACTCGTTCTAATACATTATTTGAAATTGTAGTCTTTTTATCTTATGGTAGAAATTTTGATGTTGTTGGGTAAATGAATCATAATGTTATGGGTGTGACTTATTTCTTGGAGAAGCCAGGAATAATTAAATTTCAAATATTTTGTCCTATTATTTAATCCCATTTTTGCCTGGGTCTTTTTTTAAACTGTGTGTCGGTCTATCATTAAAAAAAAAAACAGAGAGACTTAACTATTTTCTTAAATGTAGCCACGTGTAGGGGACCAACTGAAAAAGATAGTGGCAGGAGAATGTTTGGCATATATAAAATATATATCTGCAAAAAAAAAAATTAATGGAACACCCAGCTGCAAAATTTAAAAATTAAATCGTGATTATCACATTGTGGTCAAAAAATGATGATTAACCTTTAATAATAGATCATGACGCTTGACACCCTGAAAAGAGAAACATTTAAATTTTTTTTCAAACGGACTAATTGCAACAAATGTCCTAGATCTTCATCTTGTAAGCTCTGGCCCCCCTGCTGTGGAGCTCCAATTATTTAAGAAAATGAGAAATTTCTTCTGCTTTTTCCTCCTTTTGTTATTATTGGGGTTATTAAAGGTATATTTCCCCCAAAATTCCTTAAACTCAGTTTTTTATAACACAAAGGTAAACCGCTCCTAGTGAAATCATCAAACTGTCTCTTTAAAGTTATCAACATAATGACTAGAGAGGTTGGGTCTAATAGAAGGAGCTAATCCCTCACAACATGACAAACCAATATTTAAATCTCTACTAGAAAAAGTGTTCGCATTTAATAGCTAATAATGTCTCAAATAGAATTGCTTTCAATAGGAGGATATTTATGCATAACAAAAAAAAAATACCAACATAGTATTGATTTTGGTGGAAGGAGTTTTGATTATCTAAGCATGAACTCTAGAATTCGATTTAGTGTAAATACAAAAAAATGCTTTTAAAAAAATTATCTCTGATTAAGCTCAATAATACTTGAATTTAACTCGGCCAGATAGTTATGTAAAAGAAAATGATCGCTAAAGTTAATGGTGTATGGGTTGGTGTAAATAATAATTTTGACACTTGAGATACAACATTACTCATTGTGTATTTTGCGGTGACTAATGTTACCTGAAAAACATTTTAGATGCAAAATATTCTTTTACCCTTTTCTTATTGCGGCTTTTGCAGTACTAAGCTGTGATATATAACCTTCTGACAGCAAGAAATTTGCGCGAGGAAATAACAACTTGATATTTCTTTTCTTTTTCAGAAAAAAACAATTTATCCAAACCAGTAAAACGATTACAAGTAAATAGATAGGCAATTTATTCAAATTTCGAAGAGTTTGAACTTGATTGATATTTTTAAAATATTTTTTATAATGCTGGAAAAAAAAGACACGCAACCCTTTAATTTTCTTTTCAATTAAGTTATAATAATATACTATAAAAATATAAATAATTGTATTGATTACAACTCATAAGTAAGAAAGCTTATTTTAAAATGAGGCACACTGTAATTATATTCTCTTCTCTTTTTTTGAGGGGGGAAAAAAGAACACTCATATTTTCAGTCGTTTTCTAAAATTAGCATTCCTTTAAGTTTAGTAAATTAGTGTAGTCTTATCTCTCTCTACATAATTAAAAACACTGAAAAAACAAGTAATTAATACTACTTCTAGAAATGTACGAAGTCTCTTTTATATAAAAAAAAAGATTAAAAAAAATTTCTGAAAAGTCTCGAGGACCCTGATTCCCAAAGCCGCATTGGTAATTCAGTGGCACCGTACCAACTTAGTACTTCGTATCAAAAACCATTGAAGTAACCAAACTTGACTTCAAAGTTCAATAAAGCATTGCTTTTTAGACCAATGTGAACTTAAATAAAAGCACTCACAAATCGTGTAGAAGAGTTCTGACCTAAGCTACTTTATTTTATGTTATGCATGAAAAAACAAAGGTAACAAAAAAAATCAAGGATAATCAATTTTCCTGCTAAAATTTTAAATTAATGTTATCTTCCAGAAAAATGAGATATTTGTTGATTATTCTTTTGCTGTTGATCATCATCAAAATTCAATACCATTGCATATCTTATCATATTTTACAGATATTTGATCACATAATAACTCAATAACATATGTTTTGTAAATAATTTTTATAATGACTAAACAACTTTAAAAAAAAAAACTACATCAAGTTCTTAATACAAGACCCAATTGATTAATTTGGAGGAATCAAAAAATTACTTAATTATAATATAAGTTACATGATCTTTCTAAAATACTTATATGTAGCATTAGCCTATATATCAATTTATAAATAAGACAAATTAGTTTTTAAAAAATGATAAATATAAAACTCTAAAGTAATTTAGTTAGTTTTTTTAATTTTCTCAAATTAGTTAATTGGATCTTATATTAAATATTGGAGGTAGTATATCATATTTTCCATGCATACATGCATCAAACGTCTTTTTTAAATCTTACATTAAATGTTTTGTTGACCACAGTCCACAACTACTATTCTAACGAAATGTTGAAGACATTGATCTTAGAGTACATAAAATGTAAAACATAAGATTTATTGAGATCTTTGACGAAATTCCAAAGCATCTATCGATGGCTCATCTATATATATTATACTCCTCCTATCTAATTATTAAGTTAATTTTGGTCCTAAATATAATACTTATTTCTCATTTTTATTTTTATTTTTTAAATTACTTCTATGGATAATCCCTTAACCATAATCAAGTAAGTGAGAGAAGGAGGATATTAAAAAAGATGATTATGGTATTTTAGAAAAAACATGTCATGTTTCTTACAATTATAACTAACTTACATAACTTCTTTAATCTAATTAAATTAGTTAAATAGGTCTTATATTAAGGATCGGAAGAATATTATATAATTATATATTGAAAGTAAGTTGAACATTGACCATACCTGCATAAACTTTCCATGGCTCGTGGGGGACATCATAAATATATATATTATTATAATTAAATAGACTAAGATTGAATGCTTTTCAGTCTGAATGCAAATTAAAATATGTAATTTGGAAATTAAACTGTTTTACCATTGTGTTGTTCAACTAAGGCCCACCGTGTAATTGACTTGATTAAAGTGTTTGAAAGCTAAAGGTGCACTAGTTAGTACTCCCTCCGTTCCTTATTATAAGAGACGAATAATCGAAGTACGTTGATAAAAAAAATAGTTAAAATTAGTTAAGAACAATTAATGTGTAAAAAGTATAATTTGTTTTCCAAAAATACCCTCATTAATAAGGAGAGAGAGCATGAGAGAGAACAATTAAATTATTAAAAGAAAGAGAAGTGGGAGGGAGAGAGAGTGTGAGTTGGAGACAATAAATATAAGTAAAATAGAAAATCAATACAAAAAAGTAGAAACAACTTTTAAGTGTCTCTTATATATAGGAATATGCTATAAGAATCAAATGTCTCTTATAATAAGGAACGGAGGGAGTAGTAATTAGTGCTGGTAATTAGAGCTGAATCTTCAACAACGAACATATACAAATAAAAAAAATAACAGAAATACTTTATTCAATTCTAAATATGAGAGTTAGAAAATCTAAAAATTAAAAAAATTAGTTAAGTTATACTTGTTACCAATATGTTTTGATATCTTTAAAAGACTACATTGGATCATTATTTTCTTATGTAAACCTTTAATATATATTATCGAAATGGATAGTTTAAAACAAATTTATATTATAAATTTCAAAGACAAAATGAATTGAAATATTATATTTAGAATAAAAATAAAATCTTCAACTAGGTTTTATATTTTAGAGAATCTCAAAAAAAAATCTTTAAAATTTAAAATTTTAATTCAGTCTTGTTTACTATACTTTAATAACAATTGACAATATTTAAAAATCAAATGACAATACATTTTTGTAGTCGTTTCTAATTTGAGATTTTAACATTTAAAATTTTTTTTTTGAATTTTCCCTTTATATTTAGAACTAGAGTGAGTAGTAATTAAGTAGATATTCAACGAATTTTTTCTAAAAGAATAAAACGTTGTTTAACTCTTATAACCACATGCTGCTAGCTAATCATATGCTTATTTGATCCTGAAATTTAAAATATATATAAACATATATATATATCTACATATTCAAAGGGGGGTTTTTTTTTTTTGGTGAGATATTCAAAGGGGGTTTTTGACGGGTAAGTAAATAATTAAACACGCTTCCCCATGTATAGATGTATTGGGCATCATGTGACAAATAAAATGCACGAATCATACCTTGTGAATTTACGTTTGATATTTTATTAGGTACACTTCCATGCATATATTTTGCATTGGAAAATGAAACACACTACTATTTTTTTCACAACAAAATACACTACTCATGATTTATGAATATCCTGAAAAATATATTGCAAATAACACTATTCACGAGGCATAAGTGGGTATAATTCCTGCTAATTATTTAACCTCTAATTGATTATCATTTATGAAATGAGATTAAATCATGTTTAATTTCAGTATAATTATTATTTATTTTTAAAAGAATATTCATGAATTTAATATGGTTTTACTAGCTATTTTGAAATGATTTGAAATATATGTTCTGAATGCTTTAATTTTGATTTGATTCTATCTAGCTCTTTCCTTGCTCAAAACTTTGTCCCCCACATTAAGATTGTGCTTTCTTAATTATAATTTCTTTGCTTTTTTAATTGCTTTTATTGAAGAACTATATTGAAGTATTTCCGGCTTCACGTGTTTGTTTGATTACTGTTTTCTAATGCCAACATCTGAAAAAGCTGTTTGGTTATTTAATATTAAACATATGACATAATAATTAATCCCTTTATTCCCAAAAGATTTGGGAATCATGTTCGTGTGCTCGCATGTTGGCTGCCCTTCAATCAACGATCGATCAGCCAAATTCAAATATGTTATGCTCAATATTGTTTAATTTATTTAAGCACTTTTTTATTTTGTAATATAAATATAAGCCACATCAAATATACATTTAATTGATTATTACGGTATGGGCTAAACTTGACATCACCTGTAGGGCATCTATCATCAAAAGTTCTGAACTCCATAAAATATTAACAGTATAATAATAACAAATATTACCCCCACTAAGTTATGGATAGGACGACATGATTATACTCTTTCAATAATTTAATCTTTAAATAAATTATTGACCAAAAAATTCGTATCTCTTTTACTTTTGATTAAGAAATTAAAGTAAAAAATTTCCATATACTTATGGTTAAATCACCCAATGCAATTTAGAATGTTATAAATGGTATGTATATTTATTTTTTGTTCTTTCCTTCAAATTAAAATTCATGATACTATCACATAGATGAATAGTGGTATTTTGGATGAAAGATTTATTTTTAATGACTTTAGCATCAACCGTGCCTTTTTTTTCTTTCACCAAAAACATCATCATCCATAGCAAAAACTAATCTCTCTCACTTAACAGACTGCCTTTAATTTCAAATATTATTTATTATGTGAACAATGGTAATTAGCTTGATGAGAGGGAATGATTATTAACAGATAGAATAATTTGATAATCAAATATTTGCTTTGAGTAAAATCTTAGTAGTAACGCACCCCAAATATTATTTTATGGCAATTTCAAAACCGCAGCTAGACTTTTGAAAAACCAAACAAAAATCATAATTAGACACCAACAAAAACCACGTAAAATTATTTTTTGGAAGAAAAAGTGTGAAGAGGAAGAGAAATAATAGATCATCATCGGCATTAATGCATTATTATTTCAAGCTTCTGACTTGGCTTCTATTTGTTGCTAATTTATTCAACAGACTAGTCAGCCTCTTCTTCCTACTACTTGATCCTTGAGATCCACGGTTATCCTCAGATGCACAAACTGACGGCGATGAAGATTCCGGCGAGTGGCACTGCGGCTTCTTCTCGCTGACTACTCTTTCCGGCACCTCTGGCGGCGATTCGGACCCAATGAGATGTGGAAAATTGAGCTTGGCTTTTCTACCCCTTATCTTAAAAGCAGCTCTATCATAAGCCAATGCTGCATCCTCTTCCGTCTCATATGTCCCTAACCACGTTCTTGCTCCGTTCCTGTTCGGGTCCCGGATCTCAGCGGCGAACTTTCCCCACGGCCGACGCCTCACACCTCTGTAATTCCTCCATCTAGTCGGCGCGTTCCTTTCACGCGCCAAAGAATCTGCATTACTACTGACATTGTTATCAGCCCTGTGACAGCCTGCTGATAGTTTCACGGTGTCTTCATGCTCGCCGGAAAACACCGTGCCACTGGAGTTGCTCGGAGCCTGCTCAAGCGAAGCAGTACTGTCGCAGTTAGGGTTTGAAGTAGCAGAGCTTGACGTGAAGAAGACGTTATTCATCATGAGGGAAGTGAAAGATGAAGGATCATGATGATCGTATTGCTGAACTGATTCGAAAGAAGAAAGATTGTTAGGGATCATTTTTAGAAGCTAAGTTTATGCTGTGAGAGAACAGAAGCACAGAGGTGACCAATACTGAAACATGACTTGTTTATATGTATAATGACGTTCGTTTGAAGGGATTGATGATATATTATTTTATTCTTGAGTTTTTGTTTTCTGACCATAATATTATTGAATTTGTTGTTTCCATGAAACTTCAAGTATGAGTGGGTTTTAGGTTAATATAGAGTGGTTGTCCTCGCGCGTGATTAGTTTGTATACAAAGAATTATATATATATATATATATATATAATAGATACATACTATATATGTATATATGATATGATATGATAGCTTCTCTTGTATAACATTTATTTAAGAGCTCTTTGATCATTTGCTTCCGTTTTCTTTTCTTTTCTTCTCTCTCTCTCTCTCTGCAATGTTAAATATTCTAACACAAGTAATTGATAAAAAATTCATTATTATTCAAACGAAAAATTAATCTTTTAGACCTTCAATTTTTAACTTATTTAATTCAGTCCTTTAACTATGATTCAGTACGACTTAGTCCTGAATTTTTTACTGGCCTGTGACTCAACTCCTTATTTTTTCATATTTTTATATGATTATCCTTATCATCTATAACTCATCATATGTGACAAAGATTTGTTTCCAGCTCAGCTCCACGTGGCGTTGCTGTGTCGTCTTTCTTGGAAACGCATGCCGGCCAGTTCACCTCTTCTGATGCTTCCCCACTAGGCGTTTTTCCGTTCAGCTTTCCCTCCAACTTTGCAGCCCAACCGACAGCGTCTTCCAGTCAGAAATAGCCATAGAATTTGATGATATAGTATTATTTTGTAGCTTGTTCACTATTTGGGTGACCCTGCTACTGTAAACTCACACGGATTCCCTTTAACTTGAAACCATCATAAAACGCCAAAGGAGAACAGGAAAACGATGAAGAAGCTAGCTAGCACTTTTGCTGCCTTTTTGTTGTTGTTATTTTTCTTTTCCAATTAGATTTTCCTGAAAATCATACAGAAACTTATCACGATTTTGGGGAGAAGTGACATTTGGCTGGTGCCTTGGTGGTAAAATTTTGAATAAAAAATATCTCTTTAGCCCAAAGTTTAATGTACTTAATTTAAGGATCATAATACAATTAAAGTTGCTAGGCAAAGCAGAGCAAGGAGTGACTATTGCCGATTGGGAAATGGTGTCGGTGGTGCTGCAGAATTGAAGGGAAAGCTGAAAAGGGAGCGACAGAAGCAAAACGATATAGTATTCCCGATCGGTTGCATTAACCAAGATATCCCGAAATCTAAATACGACCTCCGATCCTTAATATAAGAGTTAGTTGATTAGTTTAAATAGATTAAAAAAATTAGTTAAGTTAGTTATTTGTAATAAATAAGTATTGTCTTTTTTAAAATATTTTTACTAATCATATATATTAACTAGAACTATCATTTGATGAAATATTTACCATATGCAACTACTCCAAAAGCTACCTTAAGACAAATGGATAAATATGAGAGATAAAGTGAATTAGAATATTATATTTATGATTAAATTAAAATTCAAACTAACTTTTATATTAAGGACCGGACATATTATTATATATAATTCCATTTTTGGTGTCGGCTTATTTTCTTTTGAAAAAAATGGGGCCATAAATTTTTCCCCAGTTTTTTAAGTGAGAGCCACATGGAACCACGTAGAGGGGACAACTGTAAATGGATAATGACATTAGAATATTGAGCGTCAAATTCTTGATCAGAAGAAATATTCGAACACCCATGACGTACGGAACATTATATATTTATATACTATTTTTTATGCTTGATATAAAAATTAGTTGATTAATTTGAACAGATTAAATAAATTTATTAAGTTAGTTATTTGTAATAAATATATGTTGTCTTTTATAAAATACTTATGCTAATCAGATGTATTAGATAGAACTACCATTACTATAAGAACCAGCTTGGAAAAAAAAGGATAAATATAAAGATAAAATTGAAATTTTATATTTAGGATTAAACTGAAAATCAGACTGGTTTTTATATTAAATACTGAAAGTACTATCATGATTATCAATACCTTTATTAAAAAAATTAAATGACGATTAACATAAACATTAATGGACGATGGGACTTTGGGTAATTAAAAAATCCAAAAAAAAAACAGAAAAAGAGGAAAAGACGCATTTTCAATTATATACTCTTATTATGTGGCAAAAAATGTTCAGCACGTGGTCTAATTAATAAGCCTTCGACTATTAGAAACTTCTACGAACCTATACAAGACAGTACATAGTGTCTAGTGGATGACCAAGAGTCAAAAGTTTGTAAATTGTTAATGGGAGAATTACAATCACGTCCCAAAAAAAATAATTATTAAAAAGTCCGAATAATAACCTAAACAGTTTGTAATAATAAGTTCTAGAATGAAAAATGATAATTTCTATGACTTGTTTTGTAATTTTTTTCTTTCTTGGGACTTGATTGTAATTTTGTCGTAGTTAACTGGCTTTTGTGAATTATTAATAGCTAATTATGTGTTGTGATTGGCTTATACAAGGAGTTTTGTAAGTTAATTTGTAAAAATGTTGCTTGAAATTGTTAATACACACATATATTATCTCCCGTCCTTGCTGTAAAAGAATCAGTTGACCAATTTGAGTAGATTAAAAAAATTAATTAAGTTAGTTATTTGCCTTAGAATATATTTGCTAATCATGTGTATAGCTAAAACTATTATTTGATGCAAACATTTAACATATGCAACTACCATAAGGATTACTTTAAAAAAATAGATAAATTTGAGAAACAAAATGGACTAGAATCTTATATTTAAAACCAAATTGAACATTAAACTAGCTTTTATATTAAGAATCGGAGGTAGTAGTTAATATATTTTCGGAGAATTATAATGAAATCCCAAGAAAGAAAACTAATTACAAAATAAATCCCAGAAGTTATTATTTTCTACCCTGAAACTTCTTATTATAAGCTGTTTAAGCTGTTATTAAAACTTTTTTGTAATTATTTTTTTGTCCTTGAGATCTTATTGTAATTCTCTCATATATTTTTGTGAATATCTAAAGCGCTGTTGTTAATAACTAATCTGTTAGCAAATTGTCCAGTTACCGGTTTGACCACCCATTGAAGTGGCTTTTTTGTTTTTTTTTTAAAGCAAAAAAAAAGGGAGGGACTATATAGTAAAAGAAGAACATTCACAGATCTGAAATTGGTTCCTTTAGACAGATTTGGGAATTGTTTAACTTAATTAGTGACCCAATTCAAATTTGAGCATTTTGATTGCATTTAAAAGAAAATTTCCGCTTTTTCTAATCGATACTTGTACAAATTTTTTTTTTCCCCCTTACACACACACAATAACTCAACAACATTTTTTTCTCTAAATAGTAGATATATTTTTAGGAAAATAGTAAAAGTAATGAAAACGAGCTTCAAGATCCTTAAGGAAGAATTATAAAGCATGAGTCACACATATATATATATAAACTATAAAATAATTTGACCATGACTATATGTTTTCCCTTGGCTTGTTGTGAGCATTCACATATAAGGGTCGTTGAACTAACACTCAGCTTGCGTTTGACTAAGCTGGTTTGTGTTGAGACTTCAACAAACGAACATATATAAATAGCATAAAAAAATAGAAAATGTCACGAAATAATAAGTAACTTGAACTAAATACTAACTCAACCAAGCTTGATTCTTTAAATGGATTTATTTTTTTATTTATCATGATGATATCATCAAAAGGAATAAACGTTATGGCCAAAAAGGGTAAAGAAAGAATCAATAACCTTAATTGCTATATATTGACTAGATATTAAGCACGTTTAGGTTTTTCGATCTTGAAATCAACATCAATATTATAATGATTAATCTTAAACAATATAATTGTCCATTCCCCGCTATTAGTTAATTACATCACATGTAAAATATGCCGGTTAATTTATTACTAATTATTTGTTTATTTTTGTTGCTTTATTGAAGTCTTTTCAACCTACACGTGGATGTAGGCGGGCGAGACGGGAGATGGCTGTTTTCTAAAGCCAAATTCTGAAAGGATGTCTCTTAATTTCCAAGGATGATATCTCTAAAAGATTCGGTGATTTGGATGTCATAATTAATGCTTGTTGGCCTTGTGATCAGTGTTACATTTTTTTTTTTTGGGTGCCATGGCCGATGTTAGATCAAGCCAATAAATTACTCTTTTGGTCGCTGATTATAAGAAACTACGATCAAGATTACACATTTTAAATATTAATTAAATTTAGTTAAAAGCAATAAATATACAATATATAATATACACATTTTTTAATTATATTTTTATTGTAAAAAGTGTACATGAGAGATAATGATAAAATTTATTACAGAGATAATAAGTAATATATATTTAATGAAGCTGAAAGTAAAAAGATTAATTTGATATTTCAGACAAAGATAATTTGTTTTTTTATATTTAGAAACAGCGCTATGAGAGAGAGATTGTTTCTTATAAAAAGAAATGGAATTTGTATCTCTTTTTCTTTATTATATTGTATTAATTTTGTTTTAGATATAGCACGCATTGTTCTAATTATTTCGAAATCGATATGTAGATCTCTCTTCAAACTCACTGTTTCTTTTAACTTTTAAACAAACTCAATGTTATATTCTAACTTCTCTTTTATTTTGAAACCCAAAGTTATTTTGTTGATTAATCTTCGTATGTTAGTTGGTTTGACCTTGACATTTTACTCTCCGTGGTATGTTTCACCGCCATCGCTTGGCAGGATAAGGGTTCAGTGTAGATTTCTTCCTTAGAGTCCTCCATTGGCTTCTGAGCTTTTCACTCTTGTTCCCTTTTGAATACAACTACATAATATGGAACTCGTGAATGTTCCTGCGCTTCGAATTACAAATTCTGCAGTCTTCGGAGTACAATTAAAGCTTTTTGTTTCCTCTCTTTCGCTGAGAAGAAGAAAGTTTTTCACAACTTACCCTTCCTAATTGGTATTTTATGTTGTGAGGTTGGAGTTTAGGTTTCTTATATGATTATCGGTTCACTGTATTCTGAAATTGAAATATTTCGCACAAGACTTCAGATAATTGTTATTCTGAAGAGATTTTTTTTTTTTGGTGTGCAGCTTTGATCAAGAATCGACTGGTTGTCGAAGCTAGGGCAAATGCTAGAAAAGAAAGTGCCAAAATCCGGAGCACAAGGATGCAGAAGAAGTTTGATGGAACACCTAGAAGACCAAGGCTTTCCGCATTTTGCTCAGAGAAGCAGTTGTATGCAATGCTGGTTGATGACCAAAACAAAAAGTGTCTGTTCTATGGAAGTACATTGCAGAAATCTATCCGACAAGATCCCCCTTGTTCCAATATTGAAGCTCCTCAACGTGTTGGGGAGGAACTTGTCAAAGCCTGCGTTGAACTCAACATAAATGAAATATCGTCCTACGGTCGCAATGGTTTTTGCTCGCGGAGAAAGGATGCAAGCCTTTGAGAATGCAATCTCCAGTTTTGGATTCTTGCCAGGATAGATCTGCGTGGAAGACTATTCTTTTTCAGAAACAAGAGAAACAATCAAATGCAGACAAGGATTTTACTTTGCTAGCGCAAGATTCTGAATTCCTGATCAACTAAGGCACTGCTGTAAGACCAGTAATGCTATATAGTAGTAAATGTTGGGTTTTAAAAGGATAACATAAACATAAAGTGGACGTAGCCGAGATGATGATACTGAGATGGATATACGGTCATACAAGAAAGAATAGGATTCATAATAAACATATCCATGAAAAAGTTAGAGTGGCTGTTATCGATGAGAAAATGGTAGAAAACCATTTGAGATGGTTTGGTAATGTGCAAGAAAGGCCTTTAGATGCGACGGTGAGAAAGGTTGATCAAACAGCATGAAATCCTCTACAAAGAACTAAGGCCAAAGAGAATACTTCATTAAGTTATTAAGCGAAATCTTTCAATAAACAATATATTCAAAGATTTGGTCTTGAATAAAATTCAATGGAGTTGTTGTAGCTTTTATATTAAGGTTTTGTTGTTGTTATTGTTGGGAATTCAAATGTATGGACTCAAATGAAATGATGCCAACCCTTAAGAAAACATTCATTGCATCCTCCCCTCACCAATTTGAGGCGCCCAAAATTTTTTTTCCAAATAAATAGCCGCTAGTGATTATTCTTGGCTTTTTCATTTCATTTCATTCCATTCTTAAAAATTTAAAAAGAAAAAAAGAAAAGTCCCAAACACTGCCTAAAGAAACATTGAGAATAGAAATATGCTTTCCTTAAGGATAGTGAAGAAAAATACAGACGAAATATGCTTTCCTTAAGAACAGTGAAGAATATGTTCTTATTTCAATGAATCCTGATGATGCCTTTGTCGTTAAAGCACTCAATTAAACTAGGTCCTAATTAATTTATAGTTTAGGATCGATCTAGATCATTACTTACAAGAAGAAAGTCATGGGTTTCTTTAGGTAAAAATTTAGGTGATAAAAAAAATGCAATAAATTGGACCTAAACTAAAATGCAAAATTCTAATTCTAAATGCAAGATGCAAATGTCCTAAAATCTATATGAAAATTAAATTAAACTAAATGAAGGCAATGTAATTTTGGAGGGTTTTTTTAAGGAAAAAAATTAATTAGAAAGCAAAGAAAATTAACAAGTAAAAATTGAGAAGTTTCTCTTCGGTAAGGTAGAGGGGACAACTTATGATTTGTAAGGATTTAACCTTCATAATCTTAATCAGTTAATTAGACCAAAGGGAAGTGATAAGAAAGTAGAATTAATAAACTTAATTACCTACTTGAAATAAAGGGAACTCTCAATTTCAAAAAACCCTTAAACTATTAGAGAACTCATAACAATATAAAATTAGTTAATTAAGCTTATTAAAACCAATGAAGATAACTCAAATTAATTCTGAAAATTATGTTTGATATTATCCAATTAAACAATTAGATAATTAACCAACTAATTAAACAATTAAGAGGTAAAAGAACTTAAATTTTGCAATTCAAACCACATTGATAATTAAATCCATAATGAAAACTCAATTATAAATTAAATTAATAATGCAAAGGTTGATAAACATAAAATTTCAGCAAGTGTCTCAACATAAATAAAATCCAAATATCAATTCAATCCAAGTATAAAGATGACAATCTAAAACTAAATTGTCTCACAAAAATATAACTCAAAATTATTTAAAACTAAATAATCGTAAGTCCTCGAATTAAAAAGATAAATGGAATATCACTCCTTTGTGGTCTTTAAGTGCTAGCCCAAGACTCAAGCTTTTTCCATGCTCTTACCAAGTTGTCTCCCTAGCAAGCTCAAGCTTTCATCAAATTGCCTTCTCCTCCAAAATTGTTAAATGCTATGGCCATGAATTGATGAAAGGTGGTGATGATGTGGAGATGGGAACTGGATCGCTTCAAGGAAATAGATGAATATGAGAGGAAGATGGTTATTCAATTGGTGATGGGTTGCGTGACGTGAATGAGGAGAGTATATGGGCACTGCGCAGGAATGGAGAAGTGAATAATTCTCTTGACCGAAAGGGTGAATATGGGATGAAGGAAGTGATTGACAGTGGATGATGCCCGTGGGTGTGAATGGAGAAGGAAAAGTCATGCTAGGCGTGAGTCCTTGCTCTCAAATAAGGAAAATATTTTAATGAGAGAAAAAAAAAATTTTGTAGATCCAAAACTCAACCCATTAGTCATTAATTAACCCACTTAATATTAGCCATTGGATTATGCTTAAATTCCAAGAAACAATCTTGCACCATTGAATTTCCTATATGCTCTTTCTTAACCTACAAGAATTTAAGTGTATCCATTAATGTAGATTATATCCAAATATAATCAAAAATTAAATATCAGATATGCACAAAAATTAGGCAAGAAATTGTAAAACTTTCTAAAAATAATCTTTCTAAAAATATGAAACTTGTTTCTAAAAAAAAGGAAAAATTAATTCCAAGTCAAAAATAGGAAATCAAAAAATATTTATATTTTTAATCCAAAATCTCAATTTTTATGAAAAATCCAAAAATCAACCAATTAATTCAATAATACATAAAAATCCATTTAAGTTCAAAATTATCATTTAAATTCTGAATTAATATGCGATAAAATATATAAAATTAGGCTTTATCAAATCCACCTATGCATCCCTTGAGGAGAAATTAAAGTTGGGTGCCTTCGCCACAATTTTGATTTGAGTAAGATATAAGTAAGAATCTACCTGTACGCGTTCCTGCACGCGCCCGCACACGGATATCTTCAAAGCCGCAGCGTTCAATTTGTGTCTCAGCTTTCATCATCATCATGGGCCAAGTTTTAGACAGGTTTCAGATGTAATGCCCTATACCTTCTTATTCTTTTGGTTCCTTTTTTTTTTTCCAACTTTCATCATCATCATCGTGACGACTGGTAGAAGCGTCACGTGACATTTTATTTTTTTTTATTTTTTTCAAAAATCAAGTTAGCTATGAAATAATAAAGAAAAAATTTTGTCACTAATTTGCGACAGAATTTTTTGTCAATAATTAACAGCAGATTAGCAACGAAAAATTCCACTGCTAATCCATGACTAATTGGCAATGAAATTTCAATTTCGTCACTAATCCAATTAGTGACAAAGGAATTAACGATGGAACAAATTCCGTGGCTAATTGCATTTTTTTTTTAGTAGTGTCTAAAGTTATGCTAAGGGTCAAAGATATATCATACATAGCTTGGTTAGAGTTTCATCCTAATAACGTGTTATAAATAAAGAAGAAATAGAGAAAAAGAGGGGATCAACAAGAGAGAGTATTTCTCATTCCATTCAAAAATACTCAATATATTATACATGGCCTCTATTTATAAACACAGATTTATATCTTTGATAGAATCTATAAATTACATAATAATAGGAGATAATTGTGGGATATAGAGATATTGGAGATTATAAGAGATATAGGAGATAATGGGAGATATATGAACATCTACAAAGATATTATTATATTCAAAATAAAAATAAGTCTTACACTAACATTATCTCTCAAATTAACTTTTACATTAAGACAGGAGGAGTAGTATATTTAGACAATGAATATACTATATTTTAATCCTTAAGAGACAGACAAACATAACAAGATCAAGTTGGCCAAAAAAAAAACCAGGATAAAGGCATGAAAATATTAACTTTAAAATATAGTATATTTATAAGAAATATTAATAACAACACGCCTGAGACAAAAATAGTATATGACCTCCAATACCGAATTCACAATATACTCCTCCGGTCCTTAATATAGGACCTGAATGTTGAGTTAGTTTTGATTTTAAATATAAGATCTATTTATCATATTTATTAATTTTTTCTACATTACTCCTATAAATACTCCCTCAACCATAATCAAGTAGGAGAGGAAGAGAGGGTATTAAGAAAGATGATTATTATAGTATTTTAAGAAAAACATATCATATTTCTTATAATTAACTAACTTACCTAACTTCTTTAATTTAATCAAAGTAGTTAAACAAGTTTTATATTAAGGACTGAGGAGTAGATGATGACGCTCTAATTTTAATGAATATCAGCATGTGGTCAAAATCTTCACCTTGACTTCTGGGAACCTACGGGTCAGCAAAGAGTACTGTTTCTAATTTTAAATTTATGATTTTTTTAATTGATTACACTAAAACATGTTGTGAGGTTTTTAAATCTACTATTTAAGGGGGAAATATCATCAGAATTAGTTTATATATATAACATTTTGCCTAAAGTACTACCTCTAGTTCTTAATATAAAACCTAATTGACTAATTTAGAAAGACTAAGGATGTTAGTTGAGTTAGTTATTTATAGTAAATAAATATTGTCTTTTCTAAAATATCCTTATTAATTATGTGTGTTTGAATTACCTATTGATCGTAACTCCTCAATATATGCAACTACTATAATGATTCTTTGAGAGTAAAATAGATAAATATTATAGAAAAATAAATTAGGTTCTCATATTTAGGATCAAATTAAATATCAAACTAGCTTTTATATTAAGAACAAAAGGTAGTATTAGTTTTTTATGTCTTTTCTTGTATTTTTTTAATCAACTGAACAACCTTCCAACCAATTAAACAACATCCTCTAATTATAATAAATTTTATGGAGAAAATTTCGAAGTCTTGAAAGTATTAATTAATTTTAAATAATTTAAGTAAAGTTGATCATGAATCTAAGGTAAATATTACTCTTTATAAATCAAAGTGAATTAGAATCTTATATTTAAAATTAAATTAAAAATTAAACTAATTCTAATATTAAGGACAAGAGGCAGTACTTTTAAAGATTTATGAATAATGCAATATAATGGTACTCATTATTTTATATTTTTCACTCTTCGCTCAGGGCGAGTTAAGCATATATAGAAAAATCCAAATCAACTAATGATATATAATTTAAAACAATAAATTTTACTTTCAAGTCAG